TTTCCTCAACCTGATCTTAAGTTTTTTTGTTGGATCTCTCGTTTAATGCATATATGTATTGGTATTATTTAAATGAACTAGCATTTTTTATATAACTTGACTTACCCATGATTACCACTGATCCACCCTTGTCGGTTTATATTACGACATAAATAACCAGAAACTCTGCTAAGAACTCTAAATTGTTTCTGCGGGATTATTTGGTCAAGATGAGCGATTTCCCCAGCCCAATACTATTCTTTACCTCGACAGGTAACCCATCAAATAAGCTAATTAATTCAACAAACATGTCCAGAGAATGTTTTAATTCATTTGAAAAAAATTTAAACTTCACCATAATCCCTCTGAGTTAAATTTGATCAATTGATTACTTTATATTTATAGATTTAAAAAGAAACATGTTTTTTACTACTTAGCTGAATGTCGTATCAAAGCCAAACGGCTGCGGTACAATTGAAATCAACCTTATTATGGTGAAATTGACCTTCGAATATCTTCACTCTTATATGAAATGAAATTACTCCACAACAATTTTTTTCTATAACTTTTTTGAAATCCAGTTACTCTTTGTTTCTGCTGTTTATGTTTTGTCAGCTCAGTAACCTTATAGGCTGCGCAGCATTTTCGAATTTATATTTTACTATTTTATGGTTCTTTTTTTCGCATTTTACTCTGTTTTCCAAGAATTTATTATCATCCTCTGCTGAATCTCTCATTTCCCTTTGTTGTTTCACATCCTCTTCATTAGGCTACGACGAACAGCAGTCGCTCAACTAGCATGCTTAACTCTGATAGTGACGATCTGGAGCTTATTCTTACTGATGACGAAGATGATGCACCGATAGAAATCGACCTTACTGATAATACTATTGTGTCCGAAAACAGCTATACAAATTCTGAAAATTTGACAGAAGCAATGGCAGATGTCTCAGTTGTAACACCTACTCCTACTCATTCCATTAATTCCTTACCAGATCCTTCCATTCCCTCACATCAAATGCAATCAGATGAGATCCAGAAAGCTTCTTGCGAAGTGATCCGATGTAATGATACTGCCTGTAGCCAACATCATCAACAAAAGGTTGAGACTAAAACTTCGGTGGCCACTTCCTCCTGGACTGGCTGTTGTCGAGTTTTGGGTGGGTCTGTGTCCAAACCAGCACAAAATCTACATTCTGCTAATGCTGACAAACGATTAACTCGGATGGCCCCTGGCCGTGAAGCTGCGCTTCTTCGGCGTCGACTGCTTAGTGATACAAATGTGCTGGGCTCGCTTGGGCCCAAGGAAGAGACCCCTTCTTTGCTCCCGAACAATTGTCTGAATTTGAATCATTTTCCTCCACAAGAACAAATCTATTTTCGAAATACTGAGGTCCCATTAGGTTGCACAGTTTTTGAGAAGACACTGCCTTCTAAAACGAATAGTACCATACCAACTAGCCTAAGTAACCGTCATAAATGTGATTGTACAGATAAAATAGTTTCATCTGCAAAGTCTGTACAAGGTGCCCAAGAAACTAGCCAGTCTGCTCAGTCAAGCACGAGTTTTACTTTGTTAACCATCACTTCTCCTGAAAAGTGTCTAGATAAGGCGGATAACATGTATGACGTGGCACTTCGCTTGCCACATGGCAAGCGGGCCAAACTCAGACTATCACGGACAACAAATATTCAGGTAAAAATCTCTTTCTCTAGTTGTCGTTTGTTCTATGCACAATTATTCTATGTTATTCGCATTTTCACATGGACATCGCCCTCAGGACCCTATTCTTGCTCAATTATTGCTACGGTCAATTAATAGGAAAGTAAAAAATAGGGCTAACAAGCAAGGAAATAAATTCTACAAGAATTAAAAAAAGTCGTTGCCCTCGTTTCTTGAAAATATTCTTTTGCATATGAAGAGAAGCAGGATTTCGAAGACTCCTTTAATAGATTGGTACTGGCGTATTCTTCATTTTGTTTGAGAAGGCGGGTCGAAGGGATTCGTAGATTGGCCGCACCGGATACGGCAGGAGGGTTGTCTTTGAAGTTTTTTTGTTAAATTGTGCGCAGAAAACCTCGGCTTAACATCCTACGACCCAGATGACTCCGTCCGTCATATGATGGACATCGTCAGAGCCAGAAACTATTACCTATGAAGAACCACCATAAAACATAAACCATGAAAGGTGGCCAGCTGAGATCCTACTTACTTCTTATACCTCACTACGATCTTATCAAAACATTCTATGATTTAGTTGGCTGATTTATACTTTTTGTGAAGACTTTCATTTCGTATGAAAGGGCATGAGGAAGAGATTCATTGGTCAATCTCACCAGATAAGGACGGATAAATGCCGTTGTACTGCAGCCATTTGGCTTTTATACGATGTTCAGGTTTACGCAGTCCACGAGACTTCCTTCCTCGTTTCTGATGAAAACGGGCAGAGCTTTCGTCCATCATATGATGGACATCATCGGAGCTGGGTTTCATTCCTGTAAAAGTCTCAAGTTAACACTAGGGCAAGAAGACTATCCGGCTCTATTTTACCTCTTATACAGACTCAATTAAGCCAAAAGAAAATTTAAAACCTAGTTAGATAGATATAGAGTGGTTTGGCTAATTATCTTTCATACTGGTCCTGCTATTTTTGCTCGAGTGTGTATGTGTGCGTGTTAGCGTCTATACGCAATACTGGTCCTAAATTAGAGTTGTCAAAAGGCTAATGTCAGGCTCTGGTCATCAAGGCCTAATCATCCAAGAGAAAGCCCTGACCAAGACTGCATAAGTCAGTAAGCAAGCATGGTTGTGATAATGATATATGAGCTTGTAAGCATGTAAGTCAAGTTACGAAACTACTTGTCCTAACCTCTCAGTCTAGGTTCATTAATGTTTAACCTCTTAAAGAAAGGCATGACTGGTTTTGCGTAATCTACCACGTCTGGTTTGGTTAATGAGCTTACCCTAACATGTTGGACGAGTGGGAGTGAAGTTAGAGGAATCACCGAGCCGACAAGTTGAGTCGCCCTCCTTCGGATGTCGGTTTACCACCCTCTCTCTCCTTCAACTATCAATCAAGCATAAGTAGTTCCTACTCATTTTTCTACCACCGTTTCTCACATTCATCGTATTTTCTAAGCTATTAATTTTAATAGCTTCTCTTATCTTTCTTTTAACCACAGACATTCCATTTTTGTGTTCTCCCAATCCTTGTCGAATAGGTCGGCAAGTCTCATCTACATAATACCGACCACATAAGCAAACAATTTTGTAGCAGCCGGATCTCAATAATGGGTCATATTTCTCTCTAAAAGATGGCATAACAGAAGAAAGTGTGAGGGTTTCCTTAAACATTGTTTTTATGCCCCATTTTTTAACTAATTTACCCATCTTTTTTGAGAGAAGGCATGACAGCAAAATTAGGACATGAGAAAAGGTTCCAGTCTATCTATGACAAAGTGTTCTCCGTCTGAAAATTTATTCCTCACTAGAGAGATATTATTGTCAATAAGGCCCAAAGGATGATTATTTTCCAAGAATATATTTGTCAGCCGTTGCAACTCTAGTCAAATGTTTGCTATCCGCTAGCCTCATATTTCTAAGAATCATTGAATTCAAAATGCCAACCTTAGTTTTGTAACTATGGTTGGAAAGAAAATAAAGCATAGCCAACATATGTTGGCTTCTATAAATATCTCTTCCTAACTAACCCTCTTCTCCAATGATAGGAACATCCAGAAAAGGTAAGTACTTATTTTCTCTCATTTCCATTGTGAACCTAATGTTCCTTTCATGCTGGTTGAGTGAAAGTTGGAACCTATCTAAACCTTCCTTGCTATGAGGCCAGATGATAAAATAGTCATCCATGTATCTTGCAGAATGTGTTCCTTCAGTCTTGCCATATAATTGTTCACCAAGGCGATATCCCATCGCTAATTCTTGCGTTTGTTCGTATAACTTACCATCAAAGGTAAAATATGTGGTACTCATGGTTTGGTTGATAAGTCTAATTTTGGAAGCTGCACTCAG